CTCTATTCGATTCCTTGGTTGATTGCCCGCTCCAAAAACAGGGTTAGCTGCAAGAGCGACACTATCTCTGAAACCAATTGCTGAACGGATAAGTGAATAAGCATTCTGGCGATCACCTTCAAAAACCCAAGAATTCCTACATTTCCAAATTTTCCAGGCTAAGATTCCAAATAAAAGAGGCCAGTCTGACCCCATCCCCCAATCCTTTGAGCTGTCTAAATTAGAAATGATCCAATTGTGCAGGTTGAGGTTGAAAAATTCACGCTGATTTATATGAGGCATTATCATGCACCATACTTCCTTTGATTGTGGACAGTCGCGAATAGTATGAAGGATAGTTTCACTAGACTGATTACATCTAGGACACAGATCTGAAAGAGCCATATGGCGGTGGAGTCTACAAACATTAGTCATCAGCTTCTCCCCTGCCATTAACCAAAGAAAAAAGCGAATTCTTTCTGGCCCCTGCCATCTCCAAAGACTTTCCCAAGGAAACTGTTGGATTGTAGTATCTTTGATGGCTAATATTGCATATGCTGACTTAACGGTAAACTTGCCATCTGTCGTTCCATTCCAAATTAAATGATCCTGGCCATCTTGACTAGAAGGAGGAAGAAAATTCATAAATCGATGCAGCACAGAATCTGGAAGCAATTGTCGAAGAGAATTCCATTTCCATTGCCCCAATTCATCCACGTAGTCCACCACCTTCTGAAGAGTATCACTAATAGAAAACTGAGAACCTGCATATGAGATCAAAGGACCACAATCGGGCAGCCAGCTATCAAGCCAGAACATAGTGGACTGACCATTGCCTAACTGCACCCGACTATGATCCATTATAATATTCCAATGACGCGTAATTCCCTTCCAAAGCTGGGAGCTGTTGTTTGGAGCATGAATAATTGGTGTCATGCCTGCCTCCACATTGTACTTAGCACGTAAGAACTTTGACCACAAGGCATCTGGATGAGCTACGAGGTTGAACCCAACCTTCATGATAAATGCTGAGTTCATTTCCCTCATACTCCGCAGTCCAAGGCCTCCATTTTTTTTATCCATGCAAATCTGCTTCCAGGCCACAAGATGAGAACGTCTAGAGTGTGGAGATGAACCCCAAACAAAATTTCGAATCTTCCTATCAATCTCTTCACAGGTGACTTGCGGTAATGAACACACCTACATTGGATATGATGGGATTGCTAATAACACTGCTTTAGATAATGTAACACGACCTGCTAGAGATAGACTGGCATGATTCCAAGCAGCAATTCTAGAATTCATTCGATCCAAAACATAAGAGAAAGATGACCGACCCACTCGCTTATGATGCAAAGGAATTCCCAAGTATCTTCCAAGATCCGCAGTCAAAGAAAAACCAAGAAGCCCACTAAGATAGTTTGCTTGAGTATGACCCACATTCTGAGAAAAGAAAACTCTAGTCTTACTATGATTGACTTTTTGACCAGATGAATCACAAAATATATGTAAGACCTGTTGAATTATTAACACTTGCTCCTGAGAAGCTTCTGCAAACAAAAGGAGATCGTCAGCAAAAAATAAGTGGGAAATTTGTGGAGCTCCCCTTTTAATCCTCACTGGCTTCCACCTCCTGTGATCCACTGCCTGAGAAATGAGATGGGCTAGTCTTTCCATGCAGAGGACAAAAAGATAAGGAGAAAGAGGATCTCCTTGTCTTAAGCCTCTAGTTGGCCGAAATTCTTTGGTACAAGCCCCATTCCAAAGAACATTCATAGTGCAAGATGAAACACACAACATAATTAGTCTTATCAAATTTTCAGGAAGCCCTACATCATATAGGGTATCCTGAAGGAAATTCCAACTGATCCTATCGTATGCTTTCTCAAGATCAACCTTGATCGCCATCCAACCTTTAGATCCTCTCTTTTTCCTCATTGAATGGATTAGCTCTTGAGCAATTATGACATTATCTGTACCTTGTCTACCTCTGATAAAACTGCACTGATTAGGCATCACCAGCTTGTCCATCTGCAATTTTAAACGGTTAGCAACAATTTTTGTTACCGTTTTATAAATAACATTACACAAGCTAATCGGACGAAAATCCTTGAAAGTATGAGGATTCTCAAGTTTAGGAATCAAGCAAAGAAGAGTCTGATTCACTTCTTCTATACGACTAGGATCATTGAAGACTCCCTTAATGAAATTACAAACAGAGCTCTCCACTACATCCCATTGGCTTTGAAAAAATATGCTATGAAGACCATCAACACTGGGCGCTTTAAAAGGCCCCATTGAGAACACTACTCCTTTAATCTCTTGACTACTAGGGCAGCTCTCAAAAGCCATCATAACTCTCCTTTCCATTTCTGGGAATTTGTTCCTAATGGGAAAATTAGGCCGGAGAGGAATATCTTCCTTATATAAATTATCATAGTATTCCACTGCCATACTCATGAGAAGAGAAGGGTCAGCAATCCAATCCCCGACATCATTTTGAAGGGCATCAATCCTATTCCTCCTACGCCTGGCAACTGTTGCTGAATGAAAGAATTTAGTATTACGGTCACCAAACCGAATCCAGTCAGTTCTAGATCTTTGGTACCATGTAATCTCTTGTCTATGATAAATAGTATTTAACTGTTGCCAGATCTCTTTCTGCAGCCTCTCCAGAGAATGACAAGGATGTTGACTTAAGCTATAATCAATTCCACGGAGGCGAGAATGAAGATTATTTTTTAACTTCTCCTCCTCCTTGTAACAATCCTTATGCCAGGATGTGGCTTTCTCTCGAAAGTTTTCACTAGATGCTTTCCAATTGTGACCACCTGCCCAGCACCTCTTCACTAGATCAGAGAAAGAATTATGAGTCAACCAAGCCGCTAGAAAACGAAAAGGACGAGCCCCTCCATTACTAAAATTTGGTTGTCCATCCCAAAGAAGGATTGGACGATGATCAGAGTTATAAAAAGGAAGGTGAGAGATAACTCTGTTCGAAAATGACATGTTCCAGCTTTGATTTACACAAGCACGATCAAGTCTCTCCAAAAGATTACCTCTTCTCCAAGTAAAACTCGGACCTTGGTGCCCCAGATCACTAAGATGACAAGACATAAGACAATCTTGAAAATCCTGCATGCTCCTCCAATTGTGAACTGAACTCCCCCTCTTCTCCTTCGAGTGAATGTAAGTATTAAAATCACCCATAATGCACCATTCATTATTATTTTGCGGCTGAATATTCTCCAAAGCATCCCATAGAGCATGACGCTCTTGACGCCGAGGACTAGCATAAACAAAGGTGAAAAATTCCTGCTTATGATAATTAAGCCAGCTTATCTTTGAATGAATAAATTGATGATCAGTATGCAGAACTTGGATATTCACTTCTGATGAATTCCAAAGAATCCATATGCCTCCTGAAAAACCAATCGGGTCAGAAATAAAAAAATTTGAGAACCCTAGGCTTTTAGCCACCTGCTTTGAATTGGAACATAAGGCCTTTTTATTAAATGAGCTTTTATACAAGTCTAAGCCTGGTTCCAACAACCGATTTTAGACATGTAAGCTCAGATATTCAAGAGTCGAGCCACAGGCCTCTGGTTCATTTACCACCACTATTCACACCCATTTCCCACCCATTTCGCTTGCTTAGGTAGCGACTTTAGTCTAGTGACATAAAAAAGTTTTCAGATGGCTTATGTCGTTACATTATTTAGTGACTATGGCCAAATAACTGACACATGTCATATTCATACCAAAGTTGCTACATGGTGTAGCCAATCTTTTGAAGTCATTGAAAATGAGTCACATTTCCCGTTCATAGTCACTACATTATTCAACGACTTCAATAGTTTGAAAAAATATTTAGAATACGTGATATTTAAATATATTTTATGATTAAAGATGGCAATACGGTAAATGTCGCTAAAACCAGATCCACTTATACCTCAGAGTATCTTATAGTATAAACTAGTTGATTACCCGTGCGATGCACGGAGAAAAAAAAATCGGTTTGTTTGTCCCGTAAACGAATTAATACAATATATAAACAATATTTGGAAAAGAAAAAATTATTGAAGGGAATTATATAGTTTAGGCAGATGAATAATTCAGAATTACAATGAAAAACCTTTGACTCTGAAAAATGACAAGGGAATAATATACTGATTGTGCCTCGAATACTGAATCTGCATAACAATAAAAAATTAGCAGAAAAATAGGCATAACAACTAAAGGAAATCAACAAAGAAGATTAAAAAATATTTTCTGATAAAAAATTGAGATCTTACCTGATACCAAACAACAATGTTATCTCTTTGTTGAAATAACCAAGTATACTACACTAATCTTTGAAATACTTCCTTGTAGACGATGTTAAAGGTAGTATTTGTAACGCAACCATTTTCATCAAGTATCAGCATCTTCAATCCATGTCTGCTCTTTACTCTAGATAGTGCCACATATAATTGCCCATGAGTGAAGAAAGACCTAGGAAGATAAATGCCAACATGAGACAGCGACTGTCCTTGACTTTTGTTGATAGTCATCGCAAACGAAACTACCAAGGGGAATTGTCTTCTTTGGAAGTTTATTGGAAATGTATGACTCAATGGGCTGATCGTCATTCTAGGGATTAACACAATATCTCCTATATTGTTTCCTGTAAGAACAATTGCTTCAACAACATGATTCCCCAACTTTGTAATAAGTAATCTCGTACCGTTGCACAAACCTCTTGATTGATCAATATTTCTCAATAGCATCGCCGGTACTTTAACCTTCAAAGTTAATTTATGATCAGGAATCCCCGAACATGAGAATGTATTTAAGATATCTGGGGAGATTTCGTCATCCTCAAGAGATGAATTACCGTCTTGTTTCAAAACCTTATCTGAACTCAATAATGTCCTTTCTTCACCCGGAATCACAACCATTAGGTGCTCGTTTAACATGGCAACATCGGACAATTTAGGAGTCAGAAGAGCACGTTCTTTAATGTAAGATCTTTAATGTGGTTATTCCATCATATTAGTGCAAACAATATCTGAAAGTGGGTCTTCTGAACCTTTGATCAACAATTCATCTGGAATTGTTATAATAGATTCTCCATCAACATTATCCCCAAGATCACCATCTCCTATTTTAAGCAGCCACTCAGAAAATTCCTTTATTTCCAACAAATTATTAGTGCTACTTCCAGAATTGAGACGCATGTTCTTGGTCAAAGATAACAGATGACAATGGGACCATAGATAGGAAGAATTGATGGTTGCATGAACTATATCTTGTTTACTGCCATTTGGAATGACAGGTAATATTTGCCGAAAGTCACCTCCTAGAACGACAACTTTTCCACCAAAGGGCATATCAACACAACTAAGAACATCTCTAAGTGTTCTATCAAGAGCCTCAAAGCAAAATTTGTGTACCATCGGTGCTTCATCCCAAATGATTAACTTTGTTTTTGACAACAACTGTGCCAAAGTAGAATTTTGTTTTATATTACATGTTGAATCTTCGGTGATCTGTATAGGAATACGAAATCTAGAATATGCCGTACGTCCTCCAGGAAGAAGAAGTGAAGCAATTCCGCTAGAAGCAACATTAAGCACTATTTCAGCTCGAGATCGAACAAATGCTGACAGGGTGTTCCAAATAAATGTTTTTCCAGTCCCACCAAAGCCGTACAGGAAAAAAAATCCTCCTTTACCTGCCGAAACAGCTGAAATTATTTTGTCATAAACAACCCTCTGCTCATCAGTGAGTGAATTCAGTAGTCTGTCATGCTCTTCTTTCAAAGAGAAACTGTCATACAACAGTTCATCCATCACCAATCTATTCTGCATATCCAATAAAGATTCACCCATGATGCTCGACATGGATGGGTAATCAGATAGGCATTTACCGTTGTTTTGCAATGCCTTATCGATTTCTGCCAGGGTTATGTTTTTTATAGAATCCTCTGTAAGCAAAGCATCTGAAAAAAATTGAAAAATACAAAAAAAAGGATTAATAAAGACAAAGTTGGTGAGGAAAGAAAAATAAAGCGAAATTATGAACAAAGCAGAGGGTGTGAAACATAACGAAATTTTTTAACCAAATATTAAGAATAGGACGGTGTATAATGTATAGATGTAATTTTATTATGAAGGAACAAAAAATGCTCACATTTTTTCGAAGGTCAAGTGAATTAAACATAAGCAAACTGTTTGCATAAATGAATGCACGATACAGAACGACAAGAATATTAATTATAGTGCACAATACACATAAATGAATGCACAAAATTTGTTCCGGACAATTACCTTCACGTCCAATTCTTTGCCTATGCCGATAAAGAACATCGTCAGATAGTAATTCCTAGCATTTTTGGAAAACATTTTCAGGCCTGTTCATTGAGTTACCAAATAACAATAAGGCAAACAGATTTCTCAGATAAGTTGCTGACCCCCAAGAACTTGCCTCCTTAATTGCATCAATGTACTCATTGTCATCGTCCAAAAGCCCCAAAGAATAGCAGGCATCCTTATATGTAGGAAAAAGCACCCCATTGACCGTTCTCAAATCTTCATAACTTGTACAACCCTTTTGAAAATTAAGTAAAGTTCGGAGATAGGAATCTTCTCCATTATTGGCTGAAAAACAATTTATTCTTCCAATTGAATCTAATTTATAGGAATCTAATTTATTTTGTCTGTCAGCTCTCTTGATTCTTGATTGTTATGATATTTGAATCAAATATATAACAAAGATAATGTCTTTGTTATATCATTATTGTGTATATATTATTTCAAAAATAATCATAACGAAATTGTGAATTGAATGACAATCAGGTCTTCAACAATTGTGAAATTTATTTTTGTTTCTATTGATCTCCATGAATAGAGATCATGAATGCATGTCCGTGAAAAGAGTTTTCTTTTTATTGAATTTAAAATTTCGAATTTCAGATTGTGCAAAATAAATACATAATTTCGAAATTTAATTGATAAACCATTTAAAATTTCGAATTTCAGATGAGATGACCAATTCCAACATAAAAAACAATTAAAACAGCTATTTTCTTTTTGGATACCAATGTGATGGGCAGTGGGACATTAAATGCCTTGACTGCCACCACAAATGGTCATTAAATTATTCGATTTAAAGATTAAAATTCGATTTTTAAAAGATATTCTTTTCCCACCATCCATATTTAAATTAAATTTTTTAAACCATTTCAAATTTCGAATTTCAGATCAGACAACCAATTTCAACATAAAAAGCAATTAAAACACCTGATTATCCAATTAAAATTTCAAATTTCAAAACCATATTTATTAATTAATTATTCTTTTATGTCTGTCACCACAAATGGTCATTTAATTATTCGATTTAAAAATTAAAATTTGATTTTTAAAATAAATTATTTTCCAACCATCCATATTTAAATTCAAAATTTTAAACCATTTCAAATTTCGAATTTTAGATCAGATGACCAATTTCAACATAAAAAGCAATTAAAACAACAGATTTCTTTTTGGATACCAATGTGATGGGCAGTGAGACATTCAATGCCTTGTCTGCCACCACAAATGGTCATTAAATTATTCGATTTTAAAAATAAAAATTCGATTTTTAAAAGATT